AAGTTCCAACACGGAGGAAAAATGCAAACAGTACTTATTGCCAAAGAGTACTCGATAGCTGATTGCATGCTAGCCGATGTGAGTCTGTTTACCATCTTCAAATGAGAATACGTGTGTCCTCAAAATATCCCACAGGCTATCGACACGGCCAGAAAAATAATCGGGAGTTTCTTTACTTTCTTACTGTTTCCTTATTTCCTACTGAAATTCATTAGATTGCTCCGTGGCTTCTATTATGAGATTATGGGATGAAAAATGTGCCTCGCGACGTTGACATTAAAGTAAGTTACGGTTCTACACTCTTCTGCGAGATATCCCACATTGGGGCTACTCATATCGAGCGGTAAAGGTACGCGAACGATCTCGACAAACGTTTAACGAGTGAAACCGACTGGTGAAACCAAGGAGTAAGATCCGCCCGATCCGTCGAGGACGCAAAAACTCTCCACTAGAGGGGACGGGGCGAGAGTCGAGAGGGACTTCCAGCTTTTGGACGAGTGGAAGTGAAAAAAGATTCTCGAAGCGTAAAATGAGAAAACGTGAGTTTCTCCACGTCGATCGAACGAAACGGTGTGTCCCTTAATGTCTTTGAGGAGGACAAGCTGAAGGGAGGCGAACGGAGAGAGAGAGATCGCGATCGATGGGAACTCAATTCAGACGTGCGAACGACGGTAGCTGGATGTCGCAGGATTTTAGGCACAATCAGGAGTTCCGTACCAAATGTATTCCATTCACTTCACACTCCATCCCTAGCATTAATCATTCGATTCATTTTCTGCATATGACACAAGCTGGAGCGTTTAACTCGAAAAACAAAAAGCCAAAAAGCCAAAAGCCATTTCTTGACCCTCGTTCGCTAAATGGTGCCGCTCCCCTAGTGAGACCTCGTTTAGAATAATACCTTCAATTCAGAAAAAAAAACTTAATCCTTTAACCTTGAATTACAGTTTTTGTAACTTGCTTTTGCATGCCGCATCGTTTTTCGACGACACCGATAATGGTAGAAAACCTTCGAAGCCAATCCAAATATAGGAGGAAGGATCAGCGGATGCGGCCCTCCCCCCCCCCCATCTGCCCCCCACCTGCCCCCCACCTGTCCCCAGCCCTCGAAATGTAGACATATTCGACTGCTCGCTTCCCCCTCGTACTTCCCCCTTTCCCACCATCGTTCAGAGGGTAAGGGGAGGCAAAAGCCTCCCTATTGCTCTAATTGTCAAATAGTCTCTAATAATTGATGCCTTGGGATGTAAGATATCCTTCGCCAAACTCCTCTGACTCACCACTCTCCCATGGGGGGGGGGGGGGGGGGGGGGGGGGGGCCAATGAGGATTCATGCTACGCAGCAGCAGTTGCATGCCTTTTCATCCCGAATTTTTACCATTTTGACAAGACCTGCCGTAACTCAAGAGTGAGTGGCCAAAGGTGCATGAAACTTCAACAGCTGTAGAAGAACATATTAAACAACGCACGATTAAATTTTCAAAGTCGATTCATTTGAAAAGATGCATTTTATGGAGAAACTAAAAGTGACTTATTTTCTTTGGCCATCCCTGCACATTCGCCATAGAAGCCCATTTTAACAACAATGGATTTTTATGATCCATGATTTTCTTGAAAATAACAACAAATCCCAACAACCTATATATCTGCAATGATGCTAAAACCACTCAAGAAAATCCCTTCATCGTAAAGGCGGCGTAACAAGAAGCATTGAACGCGGACAAGCACCTGCACAAGCGCTTCTCATCTGAAATAGCAAGGCCATGGTGTCTCACTATCTCTTACCTCGTAAAAGCTATCTAACGCTTTCTCATCTCTGACTCCTCATCCACTTATCTCTTTCGTGCATGGTGTTCACTGTAGTGGACGGCAAACATTTTTTGCGATGATAATAATTTTCAGTCCTGGTACACATATCTCGAAACTTTTGGTGCATGCTGTCAACTCAAGGGCACACAATCTGTCCAGTGTTGCGTTAGAGCGGTGGAACATGCGACTATTACGGCTGAGTACTTCCTTCAGCGTTATATAAAAAATGGCATATTTGTGTTTTCCTTTAAAAATTCATGCAGGAAAGGGTTATACACTGTTTTCATTCGGGAAGTCTTTTTTTTAAATATATATTTGGTTATTGGTGCATTCCACTCCACCAGGCTTCCCTGAATCCTGTTATTACGATTCTATTATTTCTATATTATTTTCCAATGTCGATATTGCGATTTCTCTTTCTCCCAGAGTCGTTGATGTTGACACAAGGCCAGGCGGAAACTCGAAGCCAGATCCTATAGGAAAGGGCTTCGTCTATAGGTTCCCTTCGGCCTTGAAGGACGAGGGCCGATGGTTCCTCGGGGAAAGTAGGACTTTTTATTGCATCCCAGAGCCATCCGCATCTATCGTCTTTTTCTTCTTTCCCTTTCTTTTCTATCGATCCTCGTTTCCGTTCGACGAAGGAGACCCACTCGATAGAGATCTATTAACTACGAACACACTGGTTTCGGTGGACTAAGAGAAGTCGGCCACTTGTTGAGAGAGCCCGTGGAGGTCTCCAGGCAAAAAATGGCAGTAAATGCAGCTTTCCTTTTCCCATCGAGGATGACGAAGGAGTCGGGCGAGGCGAGGGGTTATTTTCTTTTCTCAGCTGCTCTTCTCGAACGAGGCTGTGTGACTCGGACGGCTGAGAACAAGGCCGAGGGGATCGAGACATGCGAAGGGACTGGAACATCCGAGGGGACCGGGACATCCGAGGGGACCGGGACATCCGAGGGGACCGGGACATCCGAGGGGACCGGGACATCCATGGGGACCGGGACATCCGAGGTTTTGTGGTCGAAGAGCTTGCTCATTGCGGCTACATTACCGTTCGTTTCCATAATTCAAAGATGTCCTTCGTGTTCGGCTCCGACGAGAGAACTGGAAGGGTCAACGCTCATCGTGGTCGATATTCGTCGTTGCCATAAGCCCTACTTCGGGGGATGAAGTAATTCAATTCGTTTTATGTTAGATGACTAGAAATACTCATAAAATTTATCGATGATCGTCGCCGATAAAGACCAGACCGAACTATGTCACGCCGTTACAGTGCGCCCGCAATCGCGAATTTCTTGAAGATCTACGTTCCAAAGCGGAAAGGAACCGCTTCCATGCTCGCCCTGGAAAAGAAATCTTTCGGAAAATTCCGAGAAAAGAATAATGTCTAATGCGCGGGAAAGGGAATTCCGGCTTCAATGCTAAAAGATCCTCCTTATTTCCTCTCGCTGTCATGCCGTTCCGAGGAAATCTCGGAATCGCTCCAAGCGATAATAATACGTTAAAGAGCGTTTCATCCAGCAAATATAGATTCTTTACCGTCTGAGTCGCTTCCTCTGTTTGAGAGGGGGATCATCCGCGTCTTTCCACGAAATGTAACGACTTTCCGCCTCATTCGGGGAATCCCCCATCGCATTTATTGCGAAGGTACCCCATATCTTCTTGAAATATTTCTTTAAAGAATGGAGTTTCTTTCAACGTGACGGCTTGTCCTCATGAATTCCGTGACATTTTGGTGCACTGCTCTCACGTGAAGGTGAAAAGTTCCCTTCTCACTCCTTCGGTGCATCATTTTCACGAGATAAAATTTTCCAATCTCTCTCCCTCCTCGACCCGAGTGTCATTGCCGACCCGAGTGACTAAAAGTACTCCTAACATAGCTGACCTTCATCCTTAACGTAGCTCACCTCCGTCGGATTGAAATTGCCGGCACCCTGGGAATTTGGATCATCTGCGCGAGTCAGGGTGTGCTGGGTTTCGCGGCAGTTTTTTTCCTCAGAGAAGAAACTATCATGCTGTTCATTTCCCCCGAATGGTAATTAGTATGGTAATTAGCACGAAAAAACTTTCGCTTTGGGAATCCGACCTCTGGTTCCCTTTGTTTCAGATCATGTTTATGGAAATTCGAGGAGTCTGTCGAGAGTCCTCTTCGATCCGGCCGAGAAGCTGAAGGTCACGGGATGCTTCCCCAGCATATTCGCGTTGCGATGAGCTCATCGGATCACTCATCAGAAATCCCATTTATAATTCAAGCACGCAAAACAGCGACTCCGTAATTTGGGAATTTTCCAGGCATTATTGGAAACAGGCTCTTCCCGCGCGAACGAGGAAATAATCGTCCGCTTAAAGGTCGGATCTCGAGTGTGCAACCCTGAACCGCGAGATTCCAGGAGGAAGGAGTCAAAATGTTCCGCCAGTAACACAAACCGACATTTCCTAGAGTATGCATGGTTTTTTTCCCGAGCATTCGGAGTTTCCACGCCTTTCGGCGAAACTTTTCACGACGTTGAATAGGTGAATTCCGAAAATAGTTACGGTGAGTCAAGTCTGTCTGTTCGTGTCTGTTTATCTGCCTTTCTGTTCTCGTTCTTGCTGCCGACGATGTAATTGATTGATTGCAATTCCAATATTCCCCGGAAGCAGAGAAAGCCTCAATAGAGGAATCTCGACGGCTTTTTTCACCATACCCTCTTTCTCCTCTGCCCCCAATAAGGACCCATACAGCATATCTATTCCTTCCTTATCGGAGAATATTCATGAAAGCAATATCTCTCGATGCCGAGAAGAATGGAGAAAAACAAAGATTGAGCGAGCGAATGAATAAGGCAGGGGGGGATTTGCATGAAAATGGACGCGTCCGAGAAGATTCCCATTCGCCTGTCAGGATTCAGAGGGCATTTTGGGTACCACTCGGATCGGGGAAAAAAAATCTTAACCCTCACAAACACCCAATAAACTCAACATCTTTCGTGTGATGAATTCTATAGTATGAGTAAATCGGCAACGAGGAAAGAAAGATGACGGAATTCGCTGAAGAATCCCATTTTCCTTTCCCGAAAAGCATCCAATGGGCCGTCCATCAATCCTAATGTATTCGGGATCAGTCCAAATTGAGAAAAGAATAGAGGGATTTCGCAGGGAACACCTAATATATGCATGAAACCAGATGTCGTGAAAGTCTTCGGTGATTCGAAGTGCCATTTATCTGCTCGGAACTGAGTGCGACGATGTCGAAACCCGGCTGGGGATGAAGGCAAGTGCGAAGAAGCGTGCGTTTCGATCTCGGCGTCGTGACCGACTTTTCGGGTCTGGTGCGAGGGGAAAACGTCCCCGAAAGTGTCCTCTTTCGGCGGGTGGCCTCATTCGTCCTTCTCCAGCATGGACCGGGGCATGATGATCTCCCATCCGGGAGGGTAACTCACGACGACGTAGTTGAAGAAGCGGATTTCCCGGTAGGCGTAGGAGCGACGGTGACACAAGGCGCAGCAGCAGCACCAGCAGCAGCAGGTGAACCCTTTCCCGATTGAGAGAGAATAAATGTCACGCTACAGATAGAGAAATCGATCGTCAGAACTTCTTACCCATATCTTTAAAAAAAAAGGAGGGGGGGGGGAGGGGTGGGGTAATGGAGGAAAGAACTAGGGGCATGGTAAATGTTGAAACAAGCTTGGGTTTTCACGAGGAAAAAAATGGAGCTCAAGCAAGAAAAAAATTCCCTGTGTGTCTCAGTGAGGAATGGCAAAACAAGCAACCCTTTATTGAGTAGCGTTGCAGATCCTTATGGGGTCTCGAGCGCCGGAAATCCTCTTAACCTCTCTAAAACGAGGAAGAGGTCCTTTTCGTCTAGGATTCCCCCCTCTCACCCTTCTCATCAATCGTCAGATTAGGATCTTCCTCGTCGAAAGCCTAAAATGTTGGACGCGAGGTTCTTCGATGCTGTTCCTTCCGGATTCCTATCATTCGCCTCGCTGTCGACTCGTTCGGTCGTGCATACGAGCCGATTTATAATTTAAAACAATGGGATGGATCAGCCGGCTCCACCGTCTTCAGTTTCGATGAGTCCCCCAGTCATGGCGTTCCGGAGTGGGCGATAGGCGTGGAGTCCAAATATTACCCCTGGCTCAAGTGAAATAAGATTGATCAAGTTCCCCATTTTATTTGAATATCGCCTCGATGGGAGATCCCACGCCGCCACCATACCGTTTCATATGTAGGCTCGACCGAGCACGAATTCTCCCATTCTGCTTTGGCAGTAGAGAGAAAAGAAATTTCAAGATGGCCCCTTGCGATTGGGATGAGTTTGCCACAGGACGCGTGAAAGCCATCTCGTGAGCCATCACGAAGCCTCGCCATCAAGCTGCAGCAACTGCGTACTGCATCTCTTCTGCGTCTCATGCATATGCGCGTTTCCTCTGATCGAGAAACACGACGAGAAGCAAGAAGAGGAAAAGACGATGGGGAAGAAAGAGAATCGGATCTGTTGACCGCCCTCGATGTGGCACCTTCGCGCATGCGCTCGAGAAGCACGTCTCACGAGAGGAAGAGGAAACCCTTCATTGAAGTCTCAGGTCATTCTCCTTATCTGCGTTTTGAGTTATGGCATCATAAAACACTTATAACTAGCACGGTAGGCCTATCCCAAACAAGAAAAAAGTGCTTCCTCGTCCGTCCTCTTTCGAGACCTCGTGGCCTTTGCCTCGTCAATTACCGAAAGCTAACCGCGCCACTGCATTTTTTGTCGATCTCTTCGTTCGCTTTCCACAGACGACTCTTTGCATGAAAGCGGCTTATAACGAGCGATATCATGGCTTAGAACAGACATCGATGCATGCAAATCTAAGGACGAACGCACGGAACGGGAAAGTGCCCCAGAAATTCTCCCCCATTTATCCCGAATCCGATTCGCAGAAAGCCCAAATGCATCCAGGTAACTCCAAAACGAACGAGACCCGAGCGGAAAAAAAAGATATAAATGGGGATGACAAACCGGCGAGGCAGGGGATGGTGACGGTGATGAAGTAATTGAGGCCCCAATGCCAACCGAGACCCGAGTCGTCCTCGAACTCTCCTTCCCCTGGCATCCTGATCAACTCGTGGATCTTCTCTCCTGATCGTGGAGACAGTTTTCATCGCTCGGATGAGAGTCATTTTATCAAGTCGATTCGACTTTTGTGTGAAAACGGCTTCCGAGTTCCAAATGCATGGACCACGCATGGACCTCATCTCAAAATCGTTTACCGTCTACTACAAAATAAAACGTAAAAGTTTTAAGTCTTCAATTTACCAATGATTCCGACCGTTAGTTTCCTGTAGTTTATTAGACTCCGCCTCAACGCTTCAGTCGTTACAAAAGGGGGACACATTTTTTTGTTGAAGATTTGTTTATAAGTTAGCTTATTAGGTATAGAAAGTTGAGCTATACTTTGCTGAGTTAGCTGCTCACCTCCTTCCTGAATGAATCGCAAACTAAAATTTCTCGAAATATGTGAAGGCAGATTTCCTCTCAGTTTCCATGCATCCTTAGTAATAGTAGTAGACCGAGTGCAAAAGATACCGAGAGCAGCAGATCCCTCTTTGCCACCCTTATCGGTGCACCCTCTCAGGGTGGCCGAGAGGCTTCCCAGATAATTGGCCTGCTTCCAGAACCGTGCCAAAATGACCCGAGCGATGTTGAGGTCATCGAGATTTTCGGTGCTCAACAAGATGTCCACCGTGGCGTTGATCCCCACTTCCAATCGGCTCATGTGGCTCAAAACGTACTTGTCGTTCAGCTCGCTCTCCAGCATGGTGTATTCCACCTGACGATTCGAAAGAATCAGAAAGTCTTCGAGCAAACTAATTTCATGTCGTCGCCATCACCGCCAGGTGGGAGTCAGCTGTATTAATTAAATTCAGGGCCGAAACTCGTGATAATATGGATCAAAATCGAGTAAAAAGTCTCAATTTAAACGGTCGCAGGATTAAGGGATGGCGAGAATACAAGAATGCCAGCATGGCACAATGAATGTCTCATTTGAATCCAAAATAGTCAAGTTGACGATAGGGCAGTGGGGGAGGGGAAGGACATTTCAGCTTAGAACACCTTTGCCGAATCAAAGGTCAAATCGAAGCATCATCTTCATCCTCCTCCATTATTCATAACGAAGGACTTGGACTTCCGAAGCGGTGTAGCTCGCAAACCAGGGTGCAGTAAAGTGCTTTTCGAGAGAGGCGCAACCACGAAGGAACGAAAAATAAGTAAAACAAGAGTCGTATAAAAGCGTGCCACTCCATCCATCGTTGAATCTGGTGCCCACGCTGATCGATGTGACATCCAAGCAGGAATGATGCTGGAAAAACCTCTCGCGGAAAAGCATGCCCTTTAGCCGTTTCGCGGTCCACCGGGATCACCCGATCTCGAAATCGTGAGATTATCCGTTTCTGAAGTTGTGCCTATACCGCGATTGCCAAATGGCACTTCCGGATCGCAATTCCTCTCGAAATTTTGTACGCCGCAGTCCGCATCGATCGGCATGGATGCCATTTTGAAAAATCGATGGTTGCTCGGTTCTGTATTTTTTAATTCCATACCCCCTCCCTCTCTCGTCGATTTCACATTTCCACATCCCGCTGTTTGCGAGCTACGCTGCTCTGTAAACAGACGCGGGCTTTATGGCACCTCGCACTTATATAACAACGATGGCGTCACGCCTCAGAAGCCCAAAACAGGAAGATGGGATCTCGATCGATCGGGTTTCTCACTCGATCGAAAGGCAAGGCAAAAACCTGAGTGCCTCCTCCCAGTCGGTTTCGTTCAAAAGTAGCGAAAAACATACTGGCATGAGTGATGGCAAAACTAACTGGCACCGTGTTCGAATCAAATAAATGATTGTAAAATGAAAGTCATCCTACTATTTCGAAACTTCGGTCGACTTTGAGAAGCCTTTAAGTGCAAGCTTTAAGTGCTTCTGCGAAAATGAAATCAGTGTGTGTTAGCTGAACTCCTTTTTAATGCTACTCATCGGCTCTGAATCGGCACTGGAAATGTAACTTTCACTTGAAAGTCCTTCGGTGAGGACAATTTTGGCAAACAATAAATCTGGAGAAACTCACAAATCCAGCGGTTGATCTCGTTCGGATGGAAGTTTTCGAAACACAGAACATCATTTAAAAGGATAAACTGAAGACTCAATTTACCCTTCTCGTGGGTCTTTTTCCAAAGGTCATTTCGTGAGCTTACAGAGACGGAACGTCGAACGAAGAATCTTACGGCACGGGTGAGTCTTCCGTGGAAGAGCCTGAAGAGTCCGGAAAACGGCGAAGCCATCATGTCGGTCCAATCCACCCCGATCACCGTGAAAACGCACGACACCACCTTCTCTGCCGGAACGACACGAAGCGATCCGTTACGATCCGTTGCGATCCGTTTCGATCCGACCCGAGAAAAGACGTTCGAGGACGACCTACTGGGCGTGCAGGGGCAGAGCTGCCGATCCTCGCGGCTATGGAACACCACGCTCCAGTACGAAGAAGGGGCGACGGAGTATTTCTCCTTGACCACCGGCGGCCCTCGAGCCAACTCCGGCTCGATTCCCTGCATCACGAATGCATCGCTTTTCAGTTCCTTTTTAATTACCGCGACACGGAGCCCTTTGTGGAGAAGATGACGATCGCGTGAGTCTCGATGGAGACGATAGCACTCGAAGCTCTTGCGTCCTTCGAACCCCCCCCCCCGGTCTCGTGGGGCCATTATGTCATTAATTTACCGGAAAGATGAGAAAGAAAGCTAGGCGTAACCATCCGAGGAGAGATCTCGATCGAGAGGAACCGTATAAATTCCGTTTGCTATTAATTTCAAGTTTTCCTTCCTCGTTTCCTGCAAATCAATCTTTGGCTTGCCTTCTCTGTGACTAAGGTCAAGAACGCAATCTTCTCTCTAAAAATAAAACGATGGGAAAACCCAATCTAGTACATATCAGCTGAGATGGAGTCGGTCAAATATCGCGGGAGTAGTCGACAATCGGTGAAAAGACCGGATATGAAATGGCTTGGTCCTCCACTTCACTTCAACGCTTGGCCCTTTCCTGTCTCCATTTCCCTAGCTAGCCTTTCCTATTCACACTCAGTGGCGAAAGTCCATCAAGAGAATTATGGGAAAGTGACAAATGAAGGGTTGACGGGTGAACCACACCCCACCTCACCTCTCCTCACCCCCACCCCACCCCCCCCCCCCCCCCTTCGTCCCCCCCCCCCCTCTCCTCCATCTCTCTCCCTCTTACCCCCCCTCCCCCCTCCCCCCCCCCCCCCCCCCCCTCCTCCCCTCCCTTCGTCCCCCCCCCCCCTCTCCTCCATCTCTCTCCCTCTTCCAGTCGGACATATGCAGTACAAAAGGCGCCTCCAGCTTTATTTGACCATTTTCAAATATGCGTTTACTCGTGGGAGGAAAGGATATCTAGCTTTCGTGTGACTCGTGATTTTTGGGCGAAAAGCCAACTTTTGCCATGGGGAATGAGGGATCGTTGGGTCCACGTTTGCCCGTCTGTCATGCCTGTCGACCGTGTCGTGGAGATGTGCGTCAAACGTCTTTCCATGAAAGGTTTCTGGCACAAAATGAAAAATTCGCACGAGTTTCTTGAAAGGATGCCGCGTTTCCAAAGGAACGATCTCAAACGTCATCACTTGCAATGGAAAGAGGCGAGAAACGAAGAAATGGGTGAATTTCAGACAAAAAAAGAGCCCAACGCAAGAGCGGTACGTCACGAGAATCGTCTGCGGACTTGGAAAATGGACCCGGCAAGAGATTGCTTACCTGTCGACTGCCGGAGTTCAAGGGAACTATCAGATTCACCAAAATGTGAGGAAAACACAAGGCGAAAGGAATACCTGAAAATTATGCAAGCGCCACTTGGTCGATGAAATTTACGAGTATATGATGACGCTTGGTGAACTTGCTTGTACCTTTACGTCTGTGGAAAGAGCCGATATGTTTTCTGCCAAAAACAGGGTTTTCGTTATCTAAACGGGTTTCGGATTTCTGCGAGCTCGGGTCCCTTGTGAATCGGCGCCGGAAAACTTCGAGGTGGACTTTGGAATGTTATCCGTGAGGAACGGGAGAAATTGGGAATTTCTGTGCTCCGTAAAGCTCTGGTAGAGTTAAAAAAAAAAAGTGCAGGGCTATCAAGGACGGGAGATGGAGCATGATAGTTTCTGAAAGGAAGAGAAAAATATATGAAATTCTGAATGAAAAAAGGTCGAATGAAGCTGAGGCAGCCCGTAATGCAAGGTAAAGCGAGAAAAAAAGCGGTCGAAACGTCTCCGCTCCCACTGGAGCCATTTTCGCAAAACTTTCGTTGCGTATGGGCCGGTTTTCGACACATCCCCGAAATTCCTCTCAGATTCATCGCTTCTGGGCGATTCTGCGAAGCGAAAGGAGCCGGCGACGCCTGGAGACGATCCGCGTCGAGGTTCCACTCGATCCGAGTTCCCAATCGTGAAAATTCCTCGAAAGTTATCGAAGCTCCTCAAAGACCGAATACTCACGTCTGTGCGGCGTAGTTAAAAAAAAAAGGAGAGGTTGACTGTTAAATTGCCAGAAAGAAGCAAGGATCTCACGGTGGCATTCTCGACGAGTTCTTCCCGAATCTGGGGTCGGACCTCGGACTTCACCTCGCAGAGGCATTCCTTCAGCGGAAACACCCAGAGCTGGCGAGAGAATTCCGCGTCGATGAGAGTCGGCAGCCTTCGGCGGCCATCGAGGGAAAGAGAAACTCACGGATTCGAATTTGGGGTCCAGATTCTGCTGATAGTCGAGTCGACACGAGAACTCGCTGGATTCGCCCTTAGAGGGAGCGATTCGCTCCGATGAATTCGCCCCGCGCGAATGAATTAGTAGCAACGCTGCTGATTCGTTCGCATTAATTAATGCATCTCGGATGAGACTGGATTAAGGGGTGTTGGGATTTAAGGATTTTGGAATGGTTTTCTTCCTACCTGCGAAATAGAGACGAAGGCGATCCATGGTCGACTGGATCCGGGGGAAATACGGATCCGAGAATGGATTTCATGACGTGGGAAAGAAGAAGAAGAAAAAAAAAGGCCCACTTCGACGGGGATATCATTCATTATTCGGAAGAATGTCAACATTCCGAGCCCCGTGTATAAACATTCGCCCTCTCCGCAGACACTCCATTATGAGCCCGATGATGAATGAGTCGACTTCGGCGTTGAAAGAAAATCCTCTCTCGGTCGTATGGACTTCGATAAGCCAGATTTCGCGGAGAAGAAAAAAAAAATCGTATTCCAAATACGGGATTGTTGGGAATGACGTCAGGACTCGGGGCATTCCCTCCTCGGTTTCCTCTCGCAGCCGATGCAAGTGCTCTCGAAACGAAATGAATCTGCCTGGTCCGTATCGTTCGCCACCGAAAGCAGGCAAGGCGGGGATCGAACGACACGGAGGCGTTCCGGGTCGATTTCCACGAGACCGGCCGAGATGACGTCGTTGGACTCTCGGTATCGAGTCGGTGTTAACGCGGAGTACCTTTCCCGGTGGAACGAGGGGAACGGGGCATCGAAGAACGCTGTTCGAAGCGAGACGCCATATAGATCGGGGAGGAAAGGGGAAAGGGGGGGAGGGGGGGGGGGAAGGGGGAAAGGCGTGAAATATTGAAGAAGGGCCAGAGGAAAGGAGATCGGTTCCATTTCCCTTCCATCCCACCCCGACGAGGATTCCTTCCTTTCCTCTGGGATTGGGATTCACATCCCGTCGCGAGGGAATTCCCCGGGGAAATGTCACGGATCATTCCGGGAGTCTATCCGATGCGTATATTCGTTTAGTTCCGCATTTATTTCTTAACTCGTTTCGCCATTTGCAGGAACGTACGGTTCGAGTCACTTTTTTCTCCGTGACGAGCATCGGGAAGAGATTTAGATGCCTTCGAGGGTCGAAGGAGGGAGCGACGTAACCGTGAGTAACAAGGCAGCGAGTGGATCTTCTACCGTAAAAAAAAAAATATATATGTTTACCTTTTCGAGGACCTGTCTCATTTTGCAAGAACGCTCGAAATCGCAACGGAAGTCACGATGGGCAAAAAATGCCTCATCGAACCGGTTCCGTATCCGATAGTCCATTATCTAGTTATGCCATGAATATCGAGACGAGCAGACAAACTCTAATTTTCCCTTTCTTCCGAAGGATTTCCTCCCATTCGGTGAAGGATTTCATTTTCCTCTTCGATCCATTAGTCTTCATCCCCATCAGCATCCTCGCGGAGAGCGTTCTCAGCATCTCACCAGCTCTTCTCTCGCGTGTCGCCGAGAGAAACTCTCGTTCCTCGCCGTTTCTTCTCCCTCGACGAAATGGGAGGCAATTCCTCATCGCGCTCTCCGGCTGATGGCTCCGATCTCCTTCCTCCTCGTGTTAATTCCGCACGCGAGGATCGTTCCTCATAAAAATTCTTTGATCTTTAATCATCAACCGGAAGCAGAAAAGTTCTCCGCAGAGACTTTCGGATATTTTTGAAAAAAGAAAATGTTTTCTTCTTAATTGCATTAATTAATCACCCAATTAGGGCTGTCAATCCGATTATATTAATCTTCTTATTAATCTAATAAAAAATTTAATCGGGATAAATAATTAATTAAAATTAATGGAATTTTAATCGACCCTCCAAAACTTCCCTCTGAAAATCCTGGTTATCTCTCCAAAATTCACTGCACAGCGTTGCAAAGGAATTGTAAAAAAAATTGTGACTAAAATCGGATGACTCGAGGCCTTGTAGAAGGTAGTCGTTCTATTCGTTCGCATGATTCTGCCGAAACGATGCGAAAAGAGTCTGGGGTCTCTCTGGGAACTCGTGAGGAAGCACGAAAGAAAGCCTTTACACCGTCTTGCAACCCCCGTTATACGTGTGAGGAATCGGGAGGGCTCCGATGTTCGGCGTCGAACATCGGAAGGGACGAAGGGAGGAGAGGAGGGGACGAAGGGGGGGAAGGAGGGGACGAAGGGGGAGGAGAGTCCCCTGGTCCATGCCGTCTAAAAACACGCGGAAATGGGAGAAAGGGAAATCGAGTTCCGTCATTCTCTCTCCGTTGAATATTTTTTCTCCTCCCGGGTTCGAATATCATTCACTCTGCTGTTCTCTTCGTCTCATCCGTATGCATCGATTCGGGGGTTCTTCGAGGTACCGTTCGCCGAAGAGTCGAAAGGAATGAATGGTTTTGAAACCTTTGACTCGAGCTCGTACGGTCCCCGCACGTCAACCCCATCCCATCGCTCAGAAATTTTTACGAGTGTCGTCATCGCACTTCGAAGCAGAGCAGGTAGATCGTTTATTTCACACATTTCGCGCCATACTGTGCTTGTGTCCTTTTCTGGAAGACCCCTGTCTGCGAGAAAGCGACTTTCATTTCGATGTCGATGAGAAAATTCTCAAACCGCTCGGAAAAAATCCACTCTCTTGGTCGGTTTCATCAGTCGTGCGGCCATCTGCGAACGCGAAGCCGCTTTCACGACCTATTAGGCGATTAAACCATGAGGAAACCGTGGTCTCCTTGCGCGACGATATTGCCGAGTTCCAGATGCGACGGAAGGCCGAAAGCTTTTCATCTTGAAATGGCTCGAGGGAAACAATTTCTGCGATGCACGAAAATCGCTTCACTGAATCAGTATAGGACCGGGAGATCGATCGCCGCCGATAAATAGGAATATTTCCTTTCGTGAAGAAGAAAATATGGAACGGTCGGGACCGCGTTCTGTACTTTTCATCACGGACGGATTCTCCGACTGTCTCATCCCCGAAAAGGTTTTTTTCTCATAATTCGGGATAGGATTTTTCCCTTATCGGAAAGTTTCCGGAGAGGTAATATCCCTGATGTATTTCCCCCGAGGACATAAAAGTCTGGAGATTTGCCCAAAAAGAAAGCAACTAATATCTATCAAAAAGTTCGTCAAATTTTTTTGCGAGTTGATGCATTTGCTCCAGCTTTTGGAAGGGTCTGGAGCTCACTCGGGATTGGTTCCCGATCGGCGAATCTCCTGCCCTTCGACGTGGAATTGCAACGAGCTAAAAAGTTGGCGGAATTTGAGGTTGCCGAAAAATCTCAGCAGAACGATGGGCTCATGCATGCGTCATCGTTGTATCCAACTTTCTGACATGCTCTTTAATGATCATCATCAGCCATCTGCTCAATTATCTGGACCGGGTATCATGTTTCCTCTTTTCCGCAACTCAATTCCATACGGAAGAGAAGCAGATTCGCCCATCGGGACGCAATCACGAGTCTCATCACGATTGGCTGAAGGCTCTTCCAAAACACGGACTGCAGGCGTACAGGAAGCTCTACACCAATGCATTCGATAAGTGAATAGACTCACGGGGGGACAATGTTCAGAGGGATCGTGTCACTTTCAGGTGGAAGTTATGAGTATTCGACAGGGAAAAAAATAAGGCACGAATGCTGAAACATCCTTTTGTTAACTGTTCTTTAACCCATTGAGCAGTGTGGCCGTACCGGTACGTCCTGCATCTTCCAATTCAAATTTCCACATTTGTACAGATGCCGTCAGTTTGAGCTTTAATTTGGAGGTTCTTGAATACGTCTCTCCTTAGTTTTGTCATCAAGCTACTACAGAAAGTAACTGAGAAAAATGTAAATACTAACTTTGGGGCGGTTCGTGAGAGGGTTTTCGGTGTGACTCTCTCATTGACAGATGCCCGTTCCATTTCGAAACTTAAGCGGACGGAGGTGTGCTCTCGATTTTCAATGATACATCTAGAAGCCCTGGAACTGGCAATAAACTGACGACAATACGTGTCACGTGTAAGGTGTTGGTGGACAAGAAGCGGTTTGTACCAAGAGGCATTACATGACAAACTCCCTCACAGGAAACGAGAAGGAAAAGGGGATTAAATCTATTACTTCTTCCGTGTTTCACCTCTATTATATTTTCTATCAATTCCGTCTCGGAACTTTTCTTCAATTTCGTGTCATTTCTTAGCGGGGAGCAGAGGGGGGGGGGCAGTTCCTTCTGCATAGACATTCCGATTGTTACAGCAATTTCCTACTGTAGAGAAGTGAAAATCATGATTCATATGGAATTGAATGTATAGAATAAAACTTAAATTTTAGGAATGTAATTTAATACTTTCAATTGAAGACGTGATAAGATGCCGCTTCATACATTGAAGAAAAGAGTCTAGTTGGTGAAAAGGTACTTCCGTTTACTTTTTTGCTTTTCTATTTCTCAATAGTCTAAGTAGTAAACAAAATTTTCAAAATGTAAATTAATTATCACGTTACATATCTCTAACATTTCATTATTGTTTTATAATAATAATACCACACCCTGAAGCACTACTGATTACAAAAGATTATTAATGTTGAAATGAAGTTATTTCGACATACTTCCGAAGTAAAAACTGTTTATGACCATAAAGGTAAAAAATTTTGAGATGAAGCCCATCCGCAAAACGAAACTCACCCCTGGGGGCATGGCCAGTCAGAAAAGAACTCACCGCTCAATGGGTTGAGAAAGACTCCTATGGGAGAAAAAGAGCTCTTAAGCTTAAAAGACCCCTTTATCTCCCCTAAACGAGGTTTGTGCATTCGGATCTTAATCTTCGAATCTTGAACTCTTTGTATTTACTGTCAACAATCGTCTTCATTCTTGAGATACGGTTCTTGCATAAAAAGAAGAATTCCATGCGGTATGTCCTGTTGTAGGAGCTCCATCTCTCCTGTGCAGCGCATCCATCACTTCCTGCGCTTCATCCTCCTCCCATTCTCCTTTCATTCTCTTTCCACCCTCCTTCCTCAAATTACATGAATTACAGAATTCCATTCTTGAGATGTGGTTTACCTTTACTCGTTCATCACTCTCTCCGATCGACTCGAAGCGTAGACTGAGCTTCTAACACCAAAAGCCAATTGCAGACGGCCTCCAGACAGATGACTGTTGTCATATGATTTAGAGTCATCCCTTTCCTACGTCTTCGTTTACTTTTCATTTGCCTGTCTTGAGGAATCTGGATGGAGGGGATATTTCCTCCGGAGTTTATTCTTCTCAATGAATAGATCGGTGGAGAGAAATGCGTGTCGGAGAACGACCGGAGAAAATTCAATCCGTGGGAAAAATCAGGCAGGAAACTTTTGGGGAGGAAGCCGCAATTACAGCCTATGTAACTGCTGATTCTGGCATGGCAGCGCCATCTCTTGGTGTCGCAACTCTACTCAAGACCTTCCAAAACTCTCAAGAGAGGTCGCCGCCGGTGGGCAGATTGCTGCTTGGGACTTGAGTTTGTCCTGCTGATGGGACCGGAAAACTACAGATATCTCATCGGTCGGATCTGATCAAATAGTTTTTTTTTAAAGCTGGATTTTCTGCCAATTGACGCTACATACTGCGATGCACGTTTGGAAATGCAATACGAGCAGGAGACGATCGTGAGTAAATCGCATTTCAGTTGATCTAGCCTTATTTTGTTCCATTATTATTATTATTATTTCAACACATGGTGTCATAGATGGAATCCACGGATTACCCTCTTGCATCCTGACCACACCTTCCCTGTGGGGATTTAGCATGGCTCTTCATATGAGGGTAACGAGATCACAGGAAGAAACTGGCCTCGTCCCACAGTGGCTATAGGTGGCTCAGCTGAAGAACTCCGACCGTGAACGTAAAGGAGCTGCATGAAGTCCAGAAGGACAGCCTTTTGCATGCAACAGACACACGAGAAAGCTTTTCCCCTACAAACTGGGATCTTCTCCAGCTCTGTAACCAAGATATCCTTCATGCTGTCAAGACTGCCAGTAACCAGGATCACCAAGTGCTCATGGTAACCTGGATATTGACCTCGAAGCTAGAACAATAGGTCTTGGTATTTTTACCTCTTCTTCACCTTGCGAGGGGTGTTCTTTCCAGGTGGGCTGGAAGACTCAATCTCGATCTCCTTCGCATAATAAATTTAAAAAATAAAAAATAGAACAAGGTCCGACTTCGTAGTAGTGAGTAGTCTGGTCGTGGAGTGAGCATAGTTCCAAAAAATCTTAGGTGGATTGGATAAAACTGACTTTAGCGCAATGCCAGCTGTAAACCTCCATTAGAGGTGGATTTAAAGCTACTTTAGAAGAAATTTTATATATGGATTGCAGTGAAAATAATTAGCATAATGCAACATTAAATTCCGGATAAGTTTAATGATACGATGACCGTACTTTAAACCTCCATTAGCACCTAGAAGTATAATATCGCTGACTCAACTTGACACACTTCCCTACTGCTTTACTGATGTCCCCGGACGGCGTTTCTTTTATTTTTTTTTATTCTTTAATTTTATTTTTAAATTAATTTTTTCCCCTGAATGTTTCCGTGACTATAAAAAAGCAGAGTGAACGAGCAGCGAATTCAGTAGTCATCCGAACTCAGCTGAAGCCCTGGACGAGTGAGCCATGGCCGAGATCATGGTCGTGGGAGCCCTCCGCCGGGAGCGGGTGTTCTGTGATCGACTGATCACCCCTTGGAACGGTACTTTCCTGAAGAGGTGTTGCGAAGGCACTGGTTCACACCTCAGGGCATCTTCCATTTGGTGGACTGATTTAGACTCCATCTAGAGCACAGAACGAAGAGGAACCACGCGATATCGCCGCCGCTGCAGAACTGCTGCGTTCTTTTCGTGATCTCCGACACATTCGATATCGACACCTCCACTGTGTGGTCGCACCATTCGAAGGGTGTTGCCGGGCCGAACCCGCCGCGTCTGTAACACTCGTCGTCCTACTTTGGAACTTTCGCACCCACTCGTAAACAGTGCTTCTTGTAATACAGTTCTTTTCGTAAACTGCCTCGAATCTGCGATAAATTTCATTTCCGTTCACGCTTTCTTCGACCAAAAAAACAGATCACAGAACGAAACTCTTCCTTGGTGCAATCAAGAGCCTTAGCCGCCATTTTTCGTAACTGTGGGAGGCATACGAGATGGCAGCAAAGGCAAAGATCACCGTATTCGCGGCGCTGAAATTATAACGAGCTATATAATAAGATTACATGCTAATTATGCTGTTAGTTATATTTCTTCCATTACAATCGCAGATGTCCTGTTACGTTTTGACTCACCCACGTACTTTTATCGGCATTGAATAAAAAAAATTCAATTCTTGAACTTTGCCGAAACGAACGACATACTTGCGGGTCCCCGATGTACAGGGGACCATAAATTCCATAAGCCCCTTGACCCCCCCCTTTTTTATTCCTTGCTCAGGTGAATTAGGGTTAGGATTTATGTAGATAGAAGTGACCAAAGCCCTTTTATGCTAGAAGAGCGTCTAGTGAAAAGTGTTTGGGTGCACGAGCGCCAACAAAGTGGAAAAAGCATGAAAAATTTGTTTGACGACTTTCGAGTCAGATTTGGCAAGAATCCTCCATCAAAGGTCCTATCGCACATGACGCAGCATCATTCTGAGTTCAGAAAACGATGGCGTTCATACTGATCCCCTTAATCTCTAAGTAATCCCCATTTTCTCGAGCGAGGTATTATTAAATGTCAAAATGAATGTCGTTTCAAATGGCATATGTTTTATTTTTCTGTCACTTTTCAGCAAGAAAAAAGGGGGGGGGGGGATCAAGGGACTTATGGAACACCCTGTACATCATCGGAGTCGCTAATGCGCATTAGGAAGCTCTAATGTGTAGTAACTAATTTAACTCAAAATTTTTTTTGCAACGCCCTCACTTTAAATCTCAGTTAATCAGTTTTATTCAATCCACCTACTGCTCGCACTCCAGCTTTCACTAAGAAAGCTTTCTTCCCTGAGGCCACGCTGGAAAACGAGTTTCGGCAGTGGGTCGTCAGACTGAATCACCCTGCAGGCCATTCCAGAGGTTAAATGGTCGTGCAGATGTTCGAGGTTCAACGAACCCCGGCCTCTGATGACGTGGGAAACATGCGCTGAACTGATGCCTTTGGGTGGTGGCTACGATTGGCGGTGAGGACCTTGCGGGCGGCAATGTCATGGTTCCTCAGCTCAGTTCTCAGCCGTTTTTATTTTATTTGTATCATATGCATTTGTTTTACTTATGAAGAATGTCCCAGATATTCCTTTACCACTTCATGAACGATGCATTTATTGAACAGTTGACAGTCATGTCTTAAAGAAAAAAAAATTTTAAAGAAAGACACATTCACGAGTCGAGCTATTAGCGTTACGCCTCAGCGTGACATCCAGCGATTCTAACGCATTTCGCTGGACGCTGGAAGGCAAAAAGGCAAAAACCCTGCCAAGCGCCCAGGAGACATTTCCGCTTAGACAAAATCTTCCTGTTCCATGACTGCCTTGCAGCGACTAAAAGTACACTTTCAAAATGCAAGGGCTGAAAATAAAATTTTAAAAAGTTCCTTCTAGAAGTGAATTAATATCCATTGTGAAAAAAAATTAAATTTTACCGTTGTCATACGAACCCGGTTTTGTCAGCAGCAGCTCTTAAAGCAATTTTTTCGGTTCGGAAGTGAGAAAAGTGGAGTTATAGTCATCGTCCGAATTTCATTCCCTGCAGTTGAAAAAGCGCTCATCAGAAAATGTCATTCTCTATCAGTTGAAGACATTGACAAAGCATAAGCCACATCATCAGTGCAGTTGATCCTTAGGGAACAAAATGATTTTTTTTTAAGAAAAGAAACGTGACATGCCTACGAATGGTATCCCGATTTTGGGGACAATGGCGGTTTATTATACTTTTTTTTCCACAACTCGGCACGCTTCATCATTTTTAAGCAGAGCTTCGAAGCGAACTTTTTTTTCTCGTTCCGCGTTCCGTTCCTTTCCTCCAGCTTCCGGTTCCGTTTTAAGATATTTTAACGCGTTGGCAGACGCATGTATTTTCCCGTTTCGTTTCGCTGTTTCAAACTTTTGCCGTTCATAGGGAGAAAAAGCGCATAAATAAACAAATATCTATCAATTCTTTCATACAATTTCCTCCAGTGTTTTTTCTCGCTCCCTGGTCAAAGTATGAGTGGGAATAATGGTATCACTTTTGGATTTGGGGATGGATATCCCAAAACTCTCGAAAAATATGCAGATCACAGCAATAAGATTTGGCGTGGCTGTAGGTCAGCCACTGCATCCGGGTAGTAGAAATGTTCGCATATAAATATTCGTTGGCTATCCTTTGGTGGAATCAATTTTTTGGTAGAATTCCCAGTCTCGAAAAATTCTACGAAAGTATGGGGAGCTAAGTGACTATATTTGGCGTCATATAATCTTATTTTCGTATGTATCTTCGAAAAGTTCTCGTCCCCATCCTCGATTCGGTATACAATATACAATGTATGAAGTGCTTTGAAAATGATTTTGAAAGGCTTCCCCCCCCCTACCCCATTCTCCTCCCCCCCCCCCCCCTCCTCTCCCCTCCTCCAACCCCCCCCCCCCCCCCCCCCCCTCCTCTCCCCTCCTCCACCCATTCTATACGGGACACACTAACGTTAGGCCTTGGCCTACCTTCTGTCGCTCAAAAGAATCTCACCTTCACTTACGGAGCCAATTAGGCCTATCGCGGCCGATCTCGGGGTTTTCGTGACATCTCGGTGAGGATGTGTCACGTCAGATCGATTCAGGGCCTACTCTTTCACGAACCATTTCAGAGGGGAAGTGCGACTTTAGACCCAACTGGAGTGTCTCGAACCATCTCAACGAGGTCTGTGGACAAACTGCCTCCGAAATTCAAATGCATGTTCGACGCCATCGTCAGCAGTGATGGCCACGCACGGAGGGTCCATATTCCACCAAGTCTATCGGCCATTGGTAACTACTACTATTTCAATCTCACCTCATCCCATGAGTTAGGCACAAAAACGTATCATACGTTAAAAAAAAGCAGACTCAGGCACCGATACGAAAGCAGAAGCAGTCATGAATAAATTCAGCACGATATCCGGCAACCGTGGGGGACGGAACTCACTCGAGTTCGCACGCCAAACCTAAATGAACGACAGCTAATTTCGTTTTTCATAGCTAAATGGTGCATCACCAACAACAAGAAGGGCACGTTTCGTGATCCGTGAGTCAATATAGTTATTTTAATTGGTCTTACTCCTCCTCCTAGGAGTTGTCTCTGGGAGGGGGGGGGGAAGATAGGAACAAAATTCACATCAAAAAGCGAGATTCGGTGTTCTCCGCAACCCCTGGGAGATGTAGTTTCCTATTTCCTGAAGCGTTCTGTTTGTTGAGAGGGTAAGAAGCATGCCCAATTTCGTTCCTCCAGATCAGGAGTGCACGACATACGGCCCGCGCCCGCCATGACTGGTGGCGTCGTAAGCGCTACTATGGCTCCTGCCCTGTTGACCACAGCTTCGGTCGCCCAGACTGTGGCTCGCAGTAGGTGAGTAAAAAGAAGGGATTGAAGGGGGCTCTTGCAAGAGATTCAACAAGGAGAGAGGAAAGACAGATGAATCTGCCCTTCCCGTTGCTTCTCTACGGCTCACATCTTTTTGAATGGCGAATTTGAGCAGGCGGAGGCGAGTGAAGTGGCATGGGAGGTTCACGACGATCGCCACTTCCAAGTCAGCGAGTTGCTCCTCGCGAATGGCTCCTTATTTCTCCTTCCATTCCAGCGCTCACTCATCTCATTTCACTCTCTGACTTTTTTAAATATCGCCTCCGAGAAAAGACGCGGATATGCCTTCACGTGTGACTATGACGGACCCCAACCGATCCCCCAGGATCATCTGGGATCCAAGAATTAAGGACTCGTAGGATCAAACGTATTTCAATGAGAGTTTCCAGGTCGAGCACCTGTCGTCTACAGATCGATCTTTTCGTAATCCACAACGAATCTGCGACCTATTTAGATCGAAAGGAATCGTGCCCCGTCGAAGGAAAAGAGTCTCTCCATGATCATCTAAGTGCAAAAGAGAAGGTAAATCTATGGGGATTCCGCACGCGAGCAGGAAATCCAGGAAAAGGAATCGACGGAAAATCTCATTCCCGATCGCAACCACTTCGACAAATGAGAAGAAAGAGACGATGTCCGGCCGAGTCCATCTATTTACTTTTGAGTACAAAGGAAAAATCCCCGAAAATCAAAGCTGGAGATATGTGGGGAAGGCTTTTCATCAGGTGTTTTCAAGTCGCCTCGGAATTTCAGGCATCGTAAGTTTATTCAATATACCTTCCTGCAGGGAAACAAGACAAAGGTAAAGAGAGCATCGCAAAATATTTTGGAACGGGCCAAAACAAAATGACTTCATTTTCTAGAGTGAGCGACTCTGTTCCATTTTGAATTTTCGCTCCTTTCCGAAGCCCTGCCTTTGTGACGAAAATACTTAGCATCCGGCGTGATCCCGCCTCGGGTCGAAAGAAGCAAAGAAACTTGGGGGAAGATAGGAAAAGGAAGGGGAACAGACCACAAACCCAACGCCGGATGGATTATGAACTCCCCCATCCATAAAAACAAGTATAATCCCCAAAATTAACCTCTACCTGGCCCAAGAAGCCCGGCGGACAAATTGTTGTTCTCGGCCCTCCTCGAAGGGAGGGGTGGGGGGGGGGGGAGGGAAGGGGAGCAGGTGCGATGTTTGTCCCGCGCTCTCGACGAGACAGACTCTGTTCTAGAATGATGCTCGGTTCCTGCGTCATCGCATCTCTTTTAATTCTCCCTTGGGGAGTAAGAAATCCAAATACCATACTCTAAGAAGGCTGAGCTCTCTGTGACGTTTTTCACGTCGGGGAAACCGTTTGCCCCGGTGGTTGGCCCCCGAACTACAGAGGACTGATCGACGGGAACGAGTGGTGTGAAGCACGGGAAAGTGCAGCCTCTAACCAGAATTCTGCTCTGAGGAATCAGATGGAACGTACGTCCCACACGGATGGCTGACGGAGACCTTCGGCCGTGCAATCGACTCGTAATAATACATGAAGCCCAGGCTGCAATGGCTCTTCCTCACAGATGGTCACCAAACTCATAAAATTATTTCCCCCTCATTAGACCAAGCCACGATAATTGCGGAACGTGAGTGCACCAAGGAGAAGCCTTGCAATGTAAAACAGACAACCCCAACTTTACCAAGTATTAAAAGTGAGCTTAAAGTTACTGGTAGGCCAGAGATTTTCTTTTTGATGTTGACACCTTCTCAGTTGTATTCGACATCGAGGAACTGGATTCGCCTGAAAAAGGTTAGGATTCAATGGGGGGGGGGGGGGGGGAATATTGACTTAAAGCCAGAGTCATGGGGTGGATCCAACCATGATCACTGGATCTAAGATCTAAGAATAAAATATTCGCCAACGGCAAGAAATTCAAATCACGCACGGATAACAGGGGACATAAGCTCTCACAAGCTCTTGGCAACCTCTCCTAGTTTCATTTAACGGTAGGCCTACAGAATTATGATGTTTCAAATAGTGCTTCAAATAAGTCTTAAGGGGGACTGACTTGATACCACTTCTCCACTATACAGAGCCGATCAATTGGGATTTTTTTTTTTTTAGATTATTGCGTTCTTTAGTTTGCGGGCCATCTGCTCGGCGCATCGACCGCCGTTGCGGTTCCCCCTCTCGAGAGTCTTCTAGGGACACAGCCTCTGAGGGGATCCCCTCAACGATCGAGGCTCCGCGGACGATGATCTCGACGGTGAATCCTCGGATCGACTCTCCGATTCTCAGTTTTCCTCGTCTGAATTTTTTTATTCCCCCGCTCGCAACGAGGCTATAGAACGGCACGATCTTTCACACTTGAGTGCAAAAAAGTAAACTTTTCACTTTCTATCATGCAAAAGGTCTTTTTTTTTGGCCCTTCACCATCCATGGAAGAAAGTGAATAAAATTTTTTTTTCAACTCGTTACTCAGGCTAGCCAGTCGATTTGATAGGCTCAAATTTCCCACATTTGCGAAGGGGGTAAATATCGAGTGGCCTGGTGGCCGTTTTCTTTTTTTACTGCCGTACTCGGCATACAAGAAAGGGGAGTGGGGGCTTGAGTGCTAGCCAAGAACTTTCCTTGCGACGAAGATAGGTCTCCTAGTATCAAAGGAGCGGGACTCCCCCCCCCCCCCCCCCCCCTGG